ATACCCTATCAGAAGACACATGCAGAGGGCAATTCTGAAAGACTGCTCCATATTAAACTTTTGAAGAGCTTGGTTGCAGTATCCTGTGAAGATGTGCAATAGTGCTGTTTATCTGTGGCTTGTGGTGCCCTCTTGTGCAGTTTGGTAATTACATTTTTTTCTGGGGCAGCAGTTTATTTTTTAATTCTTTTATTCAACCGTTTCTAATGCAATACTTCAGAATGCTAACAAAAATATGTTGATGGAAACATGGTTACAGTTAGCTACTACAACTGGTAAACATCGTGGAGCATTTAGCAGCTGAAGAGCCAGGTATTTTTTATCAGGCGCTGAAAGCCAAACCACAGCTAAAGTGAGAATGAATGTCGCTCTATATCTGGTGGATGGTTGAACTAAACTACATTTTATCCAAAGCAACCTCAGAAGGTGATATGTCAGGTCAGTGGGTCTGTCAGACTGCAGTTCCACAGCAGTCAAATATAAACTTGTCAGTTTGAAACTGAAAAGATGCAGAAGTCAACATATAGTGGAGTGGACACAGTTTTGAACCTCCTGCAGAGCAGCTGTGAGGGAGAGCAGAGCCATCCGTCTGCCAAGTTACTCACACTGAGCACACAGCAGCGGAAAGCTCTTCAGATTTTTGTGGCATGGACAATGCAGAAGGTGCTGGGTGTATCAGTCAAAGGACCATTTGTCACCAACAACTGCCTCACAGCATTGTGGCAGATGTCAAATGTCAGGCAGTCAGTGTCAGGGCCTCAAGTTTCCATCTGCTCACACTGCAGCTCGATTTGATTTTTCTGACAAATATATAAAACAGTTCATATAGCTGCAGATACATGTAGTATAATCCTTGTGATAAAAACAGTCTCAATTTAATGCTGATGCCTCTATATGACGGACATAAACAAACGAGACAATCAGTAAGAACATTAGCTATTTCTATAGATGTTCTTTCTTAATGCCTGCCACCGGGTCAGATTTGGTCGCATTACTCTTGAAATCAATGAAACACTGCAGTAGAAAAACTACCAATTTTGTCCCTAGGGACCATCAGAATCAACCCAAAATTCCTTGTTACTGCTTTAAAGGTTTTATATATACAAACATCCACTTGCTACTGGATGTCACATGCAGAGCACCAGCACCAAAACAATTGGACAGAAACAAAATCAAACTCACCAAAGTCTCTGTTAGTCTTTCCAACTATCACCAATGAGGATTTGGTTGAAATAAACTCTTAATTCACTGAAGTAGGTGCAAAAATAATTAGTGAGAAAAGGGTTGCAATGACTGCAGTGTAAGCTAACATTAATCCTAAACTAAAAGGGCTTGTTCCTGCCAGGCTCAGATTGTTATTCTAAGTGTCTGAACATAATGGAACAAAGAGAGACCTTTTGTTTAACCATTAACAGCTGTAATATTACTATCGCTCGCCACCAGACTCCATAGACAAATGCACTCATTTTACCTCACATATCATCATAATATCATAACTTCATACTTAGTAGGGGTGTAAGAAAAAAATTAAAAATATCGTATCGTATTTTGTTTTGTGATATTGTACTGATTTTCTCAAAAACACTTGGTTTCGATTTAAACCTTTATCTTTACATATAGCTAATAGTTGTTTACAAGAACACAAAAGAAAGTTTCTGTAAAGTAACTAGAGTAAATGTAATTCCATTCTTCCACCCCTGTGAACAACCAAGACTTCACTTCTTTTTTTCCTTTGACATCTGATGCACTTGAAGCTGTAGGGAATCCTGCCAATCTGTTACTCCAAACAGATTAAAATAATTGATTATTTTCAAACACAATTTCACACATAACCGCTTTGGAGCGTGACAGTTGTGGCTTCACAGCTTCACACAGGTATTAGCTTTTGGTATTTGGAGCTGAAGCCGATAGAGAGCTCTGCATCGCCATTAGTTGGGGAAAACTAAATGAGGTTTTAAATGTATAGGGGATGGACACAGCTTCATAAAAGCTTGTTCAGTACTCAACAAAGCTTACAATGTTCAGTTTTTGTTGAGACTGTCTACAGCAGTATACTTTACTGTGATTATATGCATAAGCTTTAATCGCCCCCACTGTGCCACTGATACTTGATTATTGGTTTGAAATGACTTCATTTTGTATCAATGGCCCCCCTGTGGTGCAGGGACAGAGTCCAGGCTTTATTCGCTGCTCGCAGTTTGAGGAATTACTCTCAGAAGACAACAGGATGCGATGAGTTGTTTGTTTTCTCAGGACCATTAGATGGCAGCTATTTCAGTCAGTATCTGTGGGCGGAGTGCTCAGATGTGTGAAATGAGAAGAGGAAAACCATATTATTGACTCATTAACCAAGTCCGTGGTGTGGAGGCTGCAGATCTTTCTTTTATTTTCACTCACTGGTGCTTTAGCACATGGCGCTGTTATTACACCAGCAGGGGCAT